GGGTTACATGAAAAACACTACTATGTGTTACTGAAAACAAAACTACTGTGGTTAATGATAAAAGCACTCTATGTTTTACATGAAACAACCCCTATTGGGTTACATGATAACACTACTAGTGTTACTGAAACAAAAAATCTTGTGTTCATGATAAGAACACTTTTGTGTTACATGATCCATATAGTGTTACATGATAAAAAAACACTACTGTGTGCTGATGATAAAAAGCAAAATTTATGTGTTAATGATAACAAACATATATGTTTACATGAAAAAAAACGCTACTTGTTTTTACTGATAAAAAAAAATCTATGTGTTACATGATAACAAACACTCGTGTGTTACGTGATAACAAAGTCACGTGTGTTCTGATAAAAACCCTACTGTGTGTTACATGATAACAAACAAATGTGTGAATGATAACAAACACACTGGGTGTTACATGTCACTAATATGTGTTACATGATAACAAACCCTTTTCTTGTGTTAAGAAAAAACAAAACATACTAGTGTTACTGAAAAAAAAACATGCTGGGTGTTACTGTAAAAAACACTACTGTGTGTTACATGAAAATAAAACTACTGTGTTTTTACATTAAACAAACATCTGTGTGTTACATGAAAAAAAAACCCTTACTTGTTTAATAAAAACAAACATACTTGTTTTACATGATAAACAAACACTTTATGTGAAATGAAAACAAACACTACTATGTGTTACATGATAAAAAACATTTATATGTGTTTAATGATAACAAACATACTATGTGTTACATGATAACAACACTACGTGTGTTACATGATAAAAAACATATATGTGTTCTGTAAAAAAACAATAAAAACTGTGTTTTAATGATAAAAAACACTACTGGTGTTATATGATAAAAAAAACACTCTATGTGTACTGATAACAAAACCCCTTTTTGTGTTACTGATAAAAAATTAATGTGTTCATGATAAAAACATATGTGTGTTACTGATAACAAGCACTACTATGTGTTACATGATAAAAGCACTATTGTGTTTTAAATTGATAACACTACTATGTGTTACTTGAAAACAAAACTACTAGTGTTACATGATAAGAAACTATATGTGTACATAAACCACTATATTGTTCCCTGAAAAAACAAAAATATGTGTGCTGATGATACAAGCACAATTATGGTTAATGTTAACAAACACTTTTTGTGTACATGAAAAAAAAAGCTCTAGTGTTACATGTAAAAAACATTTCTATGTGTTCTGATAAAAAAACACTACTGTGTGTTCGTGAAACAAAGTTTCCTGTGGTTAAGTAACAAACCATACTGTGTTTTACATGATAACAAACACTACTGTGTGTTACATGATAACAAACATACTGTGTGTTCATGATAACACAAATATGTGTTACATGATAACAAACACTATATGTGTTCATGAAAACAAAAATACTTGGTTAATGATTTTTAAACTCTACTATGTGTTAATGTAACAAGCATACTGTGTGTTAATGTAAAACATACTAGTGTTCATGATAAAAAAACTTAGTGTTTTACTGATAACAAACATACTGTGTGTTTCGTGTAACAAAAATTTCTGGTGTTACTTGAAACAAAAAACTACTGTGTGTTTCTGTAACACTACGGGTTTTTCTTGTAAGAAGCTAATGTGTTAATGTAACATAATATGTGTTATGATAACCCTACTGTGTTTAATGATAACAAACATACTTGTTTTAAATGATAACTTACTGTGTGTTACATGATAACTTATTTGTGTTAAGATAACACTATGGTTTTAAATGAAAACATACTATGTGTTACTGATAACATATGTGTGTTACATGATAACATACTATGTTTTACATGATAACAAGCACTATTTTGTGTACTGAAAACCCTACGTGTGTTACTGAAAACACTCTAGTGTTACATGAAACCTACTGGGGTTTAATGATAAACTTTTCTGTGTGTTACATGATAACAAACTCTATGTGTTTATGTAACACTAATGTGTTACATGAAAAGACTACTGTTGTTAAGATAACAAACACTACTTGTTTTACTTGTAACAAAAACAAAATTGTGTTACATGTAAAAATTACTATGTGTTACATGTAAAAGCACTACTGTGTGTTACATAACACTGCTATGTGTTCATGTAAAAAAGCACTATATGTGTTACATGATGACAAACAGTACTATGTGTTACATGATAACAAATACTGCTATGTGTTAATGTAACAAAACTATATGTGGTCTGAAAACAAACACTACTATGTTTTAAGATAAAAACACTGCTTGGGTTAATGAAACAAACATATAGGGTTACATGATAACCCACTACGGGGGTTTTACATGAAAAACAAACATACTGTGTTTACATGATAACACTTCTAGTGTTACATGATAACAAACCTACTAGTGTTACATGATAACAAATATGTGTGATCTGATAAAAAACACTACTGTGTGTTACTTTATAAAAAACACTATGTGGTTAATGATAACAAACCCTATGTGGTTCATGATAGACTTCTATGTTTTTCATGATAACAAACCTGCTTGTGTTACTGAAAACAAAACTACTGTGTTTTTACATGATAAAAAACACTATGTGTTTAAAGATAAAAAAACACTATATGTGTTAATGATAACAAACACTATGTGTAATCAGGATAACTTCGAAAATTTTTGTTTTTGCCCCATTAAAAAAAGCATTACAGAGAGAGTAAATAACACAGTGGAAAAAACAAAAGCTTCCGAAAAACAATAACTCAGTGGAGAACCAAGTTTCCGATAAAAAATAACACAGCTGGAGAACACAAGTTCCCTGTAAACGAACCCAGCTAAAGAATACAAGTTTCCCTGTTAAACAAAAAACCAGCTGGAGAACCAAGTTTCCTGAAAAACAATAACAGCTGAAGAACCAAGCCCCTGAAAACAAAAACACAGTTGAAACACAAGTTTCTGATAAACAAAAACGCAGTTTGAAAAACCAAGTTTCCCTGATAAACAAAAAACCAGTGGAAAACCCAAAAGTTTGAAAAACAATAACACAGTGGAGAACAAAGTTCCTGAAAAAACAAAAAACACGTGGAGAACAAGTTCCCTGAAAAAACAATAACCAGCTGGGAAAAAATTTTGTTATGTTTTTAAAGGGTTTAAAAAAACGATTGGTACTAAAAAATTTTTGGGAAAAATGTAGGGGAAAAATTTGCAGTTTGTTTTAAAAGAATTTGTCAGCAATTATAATTGGTGAAATGTGCGTATGAATAAGGGAAAAAAGGTAGGGAGGGGGTCAAACCCTTTGGGTTTCTGAAATTAACTGTTCCAGGCTCGAATCCGCCCCCCTTTCTTTTTATTTTCGACGTATTTCATTCGACTTAAATTTAATATATATATATATATATATATATATATATATATATATATATATATATATATATATATATATATATATATATATATATATATATATATATATATATAATATTATATATATATACATATTGTATATATATATATATATATATATATATATATATATATATATATATATATTATATATATATATATATATATATGTATATTATATATGTATATATTATATATATATATATATATATATATATATATATATATATATATATATATATATTATATATATATATATATATATATATATATATATATATATATATATTATATATATATATATATATATATATATATATATATATATATAATATATATATATATATATATATATATATATATATTGCACTGGTGGGGACTCGAACCCTTGATACTTTAATACGCCACCCAGGTAGCCTGCCAAATCCGAGACGTCCTTAACACTTAACCACCAGTGTCACTTACATCAGGTGCCCAGCAGCACTGGACACGTCACTCCTGATGCTCGCCATACGTGGTTATGGCGAGCTAAGAACTAATTTCATTTTCCTTACGTTTGGAATACCACTTACACAAGCCATTTACTTATCATCATTTGTAGTCACAGTGGTGGCCCATGCTAACCTCCCTATGGAGTATAAATATACTAGTTGCAATCTTATTGTAACCAGCTGACCCAGTGGCTAAATCACTGGCCAGGAGTTTTACCATCCACTTGCCATGGGTTCTAACCCCATCCGTTTGTTTAAGTATAACATTTATTTAGCATGTGTAACACATATTTTGCCTGCTCCATGAGAATTTTCTTAAGTATTGGTTTGTGTTAATTAGAAAAAGGTTTGAGTTGGTCAGTGTAGATGTCAGTTTTCCAGTTTTATTGAAACAACTGGCAAACTTCAAAAAAAAATTTACTTTTCGTATGATAACTTGTAAATACCTTATGCTGTTTTCTTCTAATTTTCAGAAGTCATAACTTGAGAATGTATCATGAGAACGGCTTCATACTTCAAGTGCTGCTGGTGCATTCTGGGGTATTCCTATCTGTAAAATATTCAGAGAATAACTCTTATAATGATTTTCAACCCTGAAAGCAGAAGGTTGGAGCTGGTGTTGGCTTGTGTGCCTATGGAGTTGTCCTTTCTATGAAAGAAAATGGGAAATTAGTTTCCCTATGATAATTTGCTTGTGCCTCTTCTAATTGTCTTTCAATAATCAGTGCTGATAGTAATTAAACTCAATCTCTACTATTTTTGTGCGTGCTTGAGGTACAGGCACCCATGGGATACATTTCTCGGTCGCATAGCGACCAAAACATATTTATTTTTGCCTATATTATTCTCCATGTGGGTAAAACACGATTAAATCTCCACTTTTGTAAATATGACTTCCGTGTTTTGGCCAGCTCAATATCTATTACATTGCAACTCAAAATACGTAAACAGAAAAAAAATTCTAAGCATTTATGATTAGGCACTTAATTTGCTCTACTTACATTTTGTGTGTATGATTGATGCAAGTGTTGAGTGTGACATCTGGAATGTGACACCTGGTCTCTGTTTCACCTGGTCTGTGTCTCACCTGGTTTCTGTGTCTCCATAGATATGTTGGTCACCACTCAGGAACCTCTTCGTACCAGTGTTCCTCAACTGCTGGCTCGCCAAACATGCGCTCGAGAATATGTTCGTAAGTACTCACATTCTTGTTATCACTTATGTTATCTTAATTTGTTATCATGTATGTAGTGTACAGTGTGTACTCACCTTGTAATTCTTATATGCTGTTATGTGTGTAGTATTTGTCGTCTACCCACTATTACGTGTTACATATATAGTATGTGTTGTATACTCTTTTTCTATACATGATAGGGTGTATGTGTATATTTCTACCCAAACCAAATCTGTGAGCCTTAATTTCTCTGCCTTAAACTTTGCATTGTTCACAATTAATTCTCTGGCGGGTGAATGTAGGGTGAATATACCTCTCCAATGTGCAATAATCGCGAATAAGCTATGCAAGATGCAAATAACCACGAGGGGAGTTGAATGATAGCTTTAGGCCTTTCGTGTTGCAATCAACATATCAGGAGCTTGCGGTGTTGCAGAAATGAGCAGGAAGTCCAGGCAGATTAGTTCAGAGGAACGTTGTAGCTCCATGTGTAGTAGGGATGCATTCATCTGTGTCACACTTACGTATTGATAAGTGCAAATTGTGGTATATAATGCTTATTACATCTGAATGTTTAAGTAAAATCTGTTATTATTGATGTTTTGAGTGTGGGGGTGAATTTTGCTTCTTGATGTGGTTTTGTTTCTGGGATCACTTGTGATGCTCGAAACATCTTGAACTCTCTCTGATGTTTTATTCCCATCGGACTCAACCTTAGTCCTGAGCCTCACTGTTACTCTTCTGTTATTCCCTGTGAGTCACCTGTAACTCTTCTCCTTTTGATTCTCCTGTAACTCTTCTCCCTGTGATTCTCCTGTTATACTCCTGTAAATCTCCTCCCTGTGTTTCTCTTGTTACTCTCCTGTAACTCTCCTTCCTGTGATTCTCCTCCCTGTTACTCTCCTACCTGGGATTCTCCTGTTAATCTTCTCCCTGTTACTCTCCTACCTGTAATTCTCCTGTTAACCTTCCTGTTACTCTACTCCCTGTGATTCTCCTGTTAATCTCCCTGTTACTCTCCCACCCGTGATTTTCCTGTTAATCTCCCTGTTACATTTCTACCTGTGATTCTGCCTTATAGTCTCCTTCTACACTACAGTGCCAGGCCTCCTCAGATCTCGTAAGAACGTACAGATTTACGTGAACCAAATGGACTTCAACGAATCATTAACTTAATACTGAATTATAAGCCATCGAGTGAGGTTAGGAGATAGCAGTCAACACTGAGGTAATGTAGGAACATCTCTCTCTTGGTCATAACATCTCCAAGACATTTATATGAGAGGGGGGATCATTGAGTGCATTTTCTTGGCACTGGTAATGCGTTGTTTGGTTACCAGTTTTAACACAGCCTGGCTGTAAGACTTCCTACATTTGTTCATTTAGGGCCAAAACAACGACGGTAAGTAGAGGAAGTAAGTATGTATGCTCACATGATGTTAAAGTGTGTCAGGAGCCAATCGTGACCTACGACTCATGTGTACATCTGTAAGTAGAAAAGTGCTCAAATATACTTACACACCACTTACACACAAACCTAAGAATAGCATTCAGACATTTCAATAAGGAATCGTTCAGAACCCTGTACACCGTGTATGTTAGGCCTGTGTTAGGCCTGTTTGGAACCCACACCTAGCCAAGCACGTAAAGAAATTAGACAAAGTGCAAAGGTTTGCAACAAGAATAGTCCGGGAGCTAAGGGGCATGTCCTATGATTAGAGACGAAGGAAAATCGACCTGACGACACTGGAGAACAGGCCTGCGCCTTATATGCTTAAGATCAGGGTCAAGGGTGGGCCCTGGGTTACATTTTTGTATAAAGATGGTAATTAACACTTGAACGTGATTACTGATTGATCATTATGACACTTCTGTCATGCGCCTTATATGCCGGAATACACGTTAATTTACCATAATGATACTTCTGTGGTGCGTCTTATATGCCGAAAAATGCGTAAATTTACCATTATGATACTTAAGTGGTGCGCCTTATATGCCGCGGAAAATATAGTAACAAGAAAAGTGGAGAAATTACTACTGGCTGCAGACAAGAAAGCAGAACCTCGGCCTTTTAATTCAGAGAATATACTGAACCTCGGCCTTTTAATTCAGAGAATATACTGAACCTCGGCCTTTTAATTCAGAGAATATACTGAACCTCGGCTTTTTAATTCAGAGAATATACTGAACCTCAGCCTTTTAATTCAAAGACAATACTGAACCTCGGCCTTTTAATTCAGAGAATACACTGAACCTCGGCCTTTTAATTCAAAGACAATACTGAACCTCGGCCTTTAAATTCAGAGAATATACTGAACCTCGGCCTTTCAATTCAAAGACAATACTGAACCTCGGCCTTTAAATTCAGAGAATATACTGAACCTCGGCCTTTTAATTCAAAGACAATACTGAACCTCGACCTTTTAATTCAGAGAATATACTGAACCTCGGCCTTTTAATTCAAAGACAATACTGAACCTCGACCTTTTAATTCAGAGAATATACTGAACCTCGGCCTTTTAATTCAGAAAATATACTGAAACATTTTCTTCATTTCAGCAAAATGAATCGGCTTTAATCAGATTATATGAACCTCGGCTTTTAATTCAAAGACAATGAACCTATTTTAATTCAGAGACAAACCATGACCGGCCTTAAAAAGGAATCTAACCTCGACTTTTAACAGAGAATTACTAACCTGGCCATTTACAAGACAAAGTGAACCGCCTATTAACAGAAGATATCTGAACCTGGTTTACAAGAAACTGACCCGATTTAATCAGAGAATTACTGAACCCGGGCCTTTTAGATTCAAGAGAATACTGAACATTTTATCACAGTTTACGAACCACAGTTTTACATTTAAGGACCAATTGACACATGGAGAAAGTTAGAAATCATATATGGCCAAAAAGAAAAGAATCAATTTAACAGGATATACTGAATCGGTGTTAATTAGAAAGAACATGTGTGTCACTTAATGATTTTTAAGAGGAACCAAGTGATCAATGAAGAAGGATCAGTGCGTTACAGAGAAATGGAACCAAGTGTCACAGAGGAGTAGGAACATTTGGTCCAGAAGACAACCCCAAGTGGTCACAGAGAAGAGGAACTCCAAGTGGTTTACAGAGATAGAGGACCAAGTTGTCCACAGAGATGAGAAACATTTGTTACAGAGAGAGGACCAGTGTTACACAGATTGTGGACCAAGTGGTACAGGAATGAGGAACCAAAGTGGTCCAGAGAGAGGAACCAAGTGGTTACAGAGAAGAAACAAGTGGCACAGGAAGAGGAACAAGTGGTCACAGAGGAAAAACCAAGTGATCACAGTGAAGAGGAAACAAGTGGATAAGGAGAGAGAGGAAAATTAAACAAATGGTCACGAGAAGAGGAACCGCAAAGTGGTCACAGGGAAGAGGAACCAAGTGGTCACAGAGTAGAGGAACCAAGTGGTCACAGGAAGAGGAACAAGGGTCACAGAGAAGAGGAAACCAAGTGGTCACAGAGAAGAGGAACCAAGTGGTCAAAAAGAAGGGAACAAGTGGTCACAGAGAAGAGGAACCAAGTGGTCACAGAGAAGAGGAACCAAGTGGTTACAGAGAAGAGGAACCAAGTGGACACAGGAAGAGGAACCAAGTGGTCACAGAGAAGAGGAACCAAGTGGTCACAGAGAAGAGGAACCAAGTGGTTACAGAGAAGAGGAACCAAGTGGTCACAGAGAAGAGGAACCAAGTGGTTACAGAGAAGAGGAACCAAGTGGTCACAGAGAAGAGGAACCAAGTGGTCACAGAGAAGAGGAATCAAGTGGTTACAGAGAAGAGGAACCAAGTGGTCACAGAGAGAGGAACAAGTGCACAGAGAAGGAACCAAGTGGCACAGAGAAGAGGAACCAAGTGGTTACAGAGAAGGGGAAAACCAAGTGGACAGAGAAGAGGAACCAAGTGGTTACAGAGAAGAGAACCAAGTGGTCACAGAGAAGAGGAACCAGTGGTATACAGAGAAGAAACCAAGTGGATCACAGAGAGAGGAACCAAGTGGTTACAGAGAAGAGGAACAAGTGGACACAGAGAAGAGGAACCAAGTGGTTACAGAGAAGGGGAACCAAGTGGTTCACAGAGAAGAAGAACCAAGTGGTCACAGGAAGAGGAACCAAGTGGTTACAGAGAAGGGGAAACCCAAGTGGTTACAGAGAAGAGGAACCAAGTGGTCACAGAGAAGAAGAACCAAGGGGTTTCACAGAGAAGAGGAACCAAGTGGTCACAGAGAAGAGGAACCAAGTGGTCACAGAGAAGAAGAACCAAGTGGTTACAGAGAAGAAGAACCAAGTGGACACAGAGAAGAGGAACCAAGTGGTTACAGAGAAGAGGAACCAAGTGGTTACAGAAAAGAGGAACCAAGTGGTTACAGGGGAAGAAGCCAAGTGGACACAGAGAAGAGGAACCAAGGGTTACAGAGAAGAGGAACCAAGTGGTTACAGAGAAGAAGAACCAAGTGGTTACAGAGAAGAAGAACCAAGTGGTTACAGAGAAGAAGAACCAAGTGGTTACAGAGAAGAGGAACCAATGGTACAGAGAAGAGGAACCAAGTGGTTACAGAGAAGAGGAACCAAGTGGTTACAGAGAAGAAGAACCAAGTGGTCACAAGAAGAGGAACCAAGTGGTACACAGAGAAGAGGAACCAAGTGGTTACAGAGAAGAGGAACCAAGTGGTTACAGAGAAGAAGAACCAAGTGGTTACAGAGAAGAAGAACCAAGTGGTTACAGAGAAGAACCAAGTGGTTACAGAGAAGAAGAACCAAGTGGTTACAGAGAAGAGGAACCAAGTGGTCACAGAGAGAGGAACAAGTGGTTTACAGAGAAGAGGAACCAAGTGGTTCAAAAAAACAAGTGTTAAGAGGAAACAAGTGTGTTACAGAGAAGAAGCCAGTGGTTACAGAAAAGAGGAGCAAGTGGTCACAGAGAAAAAGGAACCAAGTGGTTAAGAGAAGAGGAACCAAGTGGTCACAGAGAAGAGGAACC